AAACGAATCACATTACATGGCGGCACGAAAGGATAATTTAAAAATATATAAAAACCTGGCAATTCAGCCTATGCTGGCTGGGTTTTATTTTTATCTTCCAATTTATCCCTTGACCTTCAATACCAATTAGCCAACTGCAATATAAAGGCAGAATGGCATCATAAAGACCTTTTCAAAGTAGAAAATTATTTCCAATATTATTTGCAGATATACTTTGAAGTCAAAGCTCATTCATGCCTTAGGCGATCACAAGAAAAACGCATAATCTGATTGATAACAGAAAGTAAGAACTAAGTAATGATCGCATAGAACATTTTATAATCTGGCTTTTCAATCGGAATCGGATTAGGGGGGCCATGATAAGATGAAGATAATAATTTTTATTCGTTATAATTGCAATCGCGAGCTTTCTTCGCAAAATGGAGAGTTCAATGAAACCGTTTTAATTTTAGAGGTCGATTGAAGGAAGGAGCTTAGCCAATTATATTATATTTATACAGGAGACGTTACGATTTCATTGCCAATTACTTAGGTAATGCCAAGGCTAACTGGGATAGTTCTTCGAAAGACTGTAACGAATGCTATACTCAAAGAAATGAGTGAGATGTTGTGATAGTGAAGCACTTTTTTCCCTTATGTGGGTCATCCTGACCCAGTTTTACCTGAAAAAAGGGCGTATCATTGCTACGTCTGCTCTGTGCTAATGCTGAAGGTAAAAATGTGTTATTTGGTCAATATGAGCAATTCGTTTTTTCTGTAGTACGAGAACCAATGTTCCAACTGAAGTGAATTCTCACCGGCACTGTCAAAATAACGTTGTAAGAATCATGCGGACGAAACCACCAAAATAATCATGAAATAAAACTTTTAAACATAGCTGTGATATATTTGTCTGGGTGTTGAGAGGCTTTGGAAAATTAATTAATAAATATATAATGCACTTTTTTAGTTTCACTCGATTAAAATTTACAGAGAGATTGATTTTCGTGTTGGCTGTGCATTTTGAATTATACCGAATATTCTAGCGCATAATTAAAAACACACAAACACAAAAGATTTGATCAAATAATTTCAACGACGTTTACAAGAGCTTTTTTTACCTACGCTAAAAAAAGATTCTAGTTTGTTGCATTCAAAGTTTCAAACTTGGTACGTCCCAATAAGATATGCATCGAAGTAAAAAGTGAAAAATGCACGACTTTTTGCAGTTTCAAAACTTGACTAGTGAAGCTTGAAATTAAAAGAAATAATTAAAATAGCGAAAAAATGAAAATCCGTTAAACCTTTATGCTGTCTTAATCAATCGCATTTTACTGGTTATTTTCATAATCTGTAAAATTCATTGTATTTCAGACCCATTCGAATGGGTCATCAGTGTGCCATACGCAAGCGTTTCTGCTGAACTTGACGAGCGGTCAATCGAACAAGATTGTCTCATTAAATAAATTTTATCGTCAACGGGTAGCTCGAAAACGACAAAATTACATGCCAGGCCATGAATAAATTTGAGAAGACGGTTACATCAAGGGCGTCCTTTTATGCGAGGATTATGATTTTATTTTATTTTTCTTTGGAGGGTTGCGATAAATAGTTTTTACGTCAAAATTTAAAATTTGGGTAACTTGTTCCAATTTTTGGTCATATTTTTTTTTAATTTTTATAAAATTAAGAATTAATAATGAAAATTAATAATTTTTTTACTATAATTAGCCCGATGGCGATATTTGAAGTGGATGCTATAACCGCAATCGGCAAATGGTTTTTCGTTAATAAGCAAACACCCTAAGAAACGTCGGTCACGGTCAGTGCCGTAGTGGCTAACCTTAGTAACCTAAACATTACAAGATCCTAGTGCCGCAGTCTGCCTGCGTGTGCAATTTAAGCCATCGTGGCATTTATATACACACACAGATTCAAGGAAATCAGCATAATTATACCGATGTCGGGGTAATCTTATCCAGAGAATACCTCCGCGCAAACTTGGCTCACAAACAACAGCCTAGGTACGTAGCCTATACAGTATGTGATTCGACACCATCGCAGAATAAATAGTAAAATAATGATAATAATAATAGCTGAAACTAACTTTCTTTCACCATAGAATAAGGAACAAAATCTTTTCATAAACAATATAATTTCCTGTAAAATCATAAAAATACGTTACCAATATTATCCATTCCGAGATCAGTCATTTCTGATACAAAGTTAGAACGCGGACGAAGACACTTCGGTTTGCAACATCCACTGAATTCATGGAATTGAAACGCGTACATCTCGTTCAGTATTAAGGAGAGCTTGGCTCGTGAACTTGCAATCACGGAAATTTTCAACACTTTTAAGAATGTAATGCCACTTCATAGTCAGTATACATCATACATGTTACAATTTTAAAGGAGTTTTCACTTTGTGACAACATACACATGCTGACATGCACGATAGTCCACTCGAAAAGCATCAGAAACTAAGGACTAGTTGCGCGGCTCGGCGTTAATAGCGAAACAATAAGTGAACGCAGGCATACGCGTACGATTTCGCAATGGCAGCAAGAAACTTAACCATACATTCGTTTTCTTTTGTACAATTAAAAATTATGCTATCACCACTCAACCGTCACCAGTCTTCAGAAGTTTTCATGAATCAATATCAATCAATATCAAATGCTTTTGTGAAGCAAAGAACTAATGAATATTTTTGAGAGTTTCAGTCCTAAGATTTTGAATTTCTCGCATAGATTGAAATCATTTCGGGAAAATAGCGTAACAAAAATTAATTTTAAATGAAACAATTAACAAACGAATTTAATAATACTTTGACAAACCAAACACTTAGTTCTCTAAGAAAGGAACAGAGTAAACTGTTGAGATCCAATGTTTACGAATCAAGAGACCGACAGAAATCGCAGTATTTGAGCACCAGCGTCGACTACCTCACCAAAGCAACTCCTACGTGCTACTGAAGGAACGCGCCATGCCGCCATCAGCTATCAAGCCTGGGCCGACGACTGCCGAGTGCAGACTGCAGTGAAGCCTGCCGCTTACCACCGACTGTCTGTATTGTGGTAAACTTAAAATCCTATAGCGGCGATTTCAGGAACACTTAATGTATGGTAATTTTGAGCTCACCTAACATGAACCGATAAAGTTACATCGTAATTGTTTTGGAATAACTAATCAAATATACAGGGTAGGTAATGAGAGTTGCCGTCTTTGGACTAAAGGTTATTCGTAAAGTACAAGTAATCTTTTTTATTTCTTTCTTATATTACCCGTGGCTCTCAGGCCCAGTAGTTAATTAGCGCCGAATTAATTCTAGATTAGGCGTTGATAAAACTGCAACATTGCACGGTTCAGCCAATCCGCATTCAGGGTGAAACTAAACCTGCAATATGCCAATGAAAGTATTTAGGCTGCTGATAAAATAAATATTCCCAGCGTTATGCTTTAGAAACAAAATCGGACAGCATGGATCATTCAGTGTTACGGAATTTCCAAGTCTGGATATAGCGTGACTTTTTGGCAACATAAATGCAAGACGAGGAGTAATGAGCCTATTTTTTGCGGCTGTTGCGCATCGTTTCGACATAGATTGCTCATTACGAATGCAAGATTATGAAAATTTAAGATTTATGCGGTTTTCTGTCGAAACGCTAGCTGGAAAAAAATGAAGCTCCCTAAGATGAATGAATGGTGCAGTTCAAAAAATGAAATCGGAAAAATGACGATTCTTTGAAATGAATGAATGAAAAGTGAGTATTTATGTAATTGAAGATTACATAAATTTCCATTCCAGTACGGAGAAGTGGTAGAATAGACATAGTCTTGCCAATCACCGCAAATGTGAGATGAAAAAAAAGATGGTGAATTTTAATATTCAACCGTAACTTCCGATAATTATCGTGATGATAGGTAAAACTTGAAAAAGTTATCATTGTAGAATAAATCATAATAAATCTAAATTACCTATCATTATTCAAGTAACTTGAAAATTAATTTATAGCACGCGATCTAAGAACCAAATTAGTCAACATCCTTACCCATGGTTGAAATAATTTCAATCATGATCCTTACCACTCCTGCCTCAATTAGTGAAACATAACTCTAAGTGCACCGAATTTGTTACTTTCATAAGGGAGCACAGCCGTGCACCACCAACTTTGTACCTGAATCCAAAACAGAAAAAGCCCTGAATAAAAAAAAACAGAATTCAATAATTATAATGAGTCCATTAATTGAAACCCGAATCAAATCGCCTTACCCTGAAGGTAGCGTATGAGACGCAGCGGCGACTTTGCCTTCATTGATAGTAGCAGGAACGTATCCAACATCACACATGTTCCTTCTATCAATTTATATCCTTTGAACGTATTCATTTGCACCATGGATCAGTATCGTTTCCAATTCGTGTATTCATGAATGAATCCGCTTACAGCATGGTTCATGCCAGCTTCCAATTTGTACCCTTTTGCATCATGGTTCAAAATAGGTTCCAATCCGTACGATGGTTCAGTATTACGTCACCATCTAGACTCCTATCAATTAGTTTACCTTTGTTATTGTGTTTGCATACTGTAGGCACAAGTTCAATTTGAGATATACTCTCCATATTTGTATTGCATTGGAACGGTACAAAAACCTTATGGAGTGTCGCCTTTGCTCATGTTCAAAGCTACGTCTCACCGGTGGCTCAGGTTACCTCAGATTTACTTTATTAGATTACTAATAATATGTTAAGAGTGACGCACTCGATCGGCGTATTATAGAGTACCGTATTCATCACCTGAGTACATTCATTATTTATTATCAACCGCGCCATAATGTTTCGCGACAGACGTATTTCCTAGCAAATCGATTGACCGGCATAACAGCATGGTCGAAAAATAGTTGCTGCACTATGTCTACCAATCGACGGAAAATTAATTAGTTAGAAGACAAAAAAACAATTTCAGTAAGGGAGTCTTCTTAGTAGTGATTACGATGTTGAAGGACAATAAAAGAACAACACGTGATCAAAATTTTTTTAGAATTATATTGCAGCGAATATCTCTGAAATGTAATCACGTTCCCTAGAGTCGTTTTGAGGACACAAGACAGGGCTGACATGCATCATCACTACATAATAAATATATCCGCTTGAAACATCAACTGTTAAAGGGAGTTAGCAAAGGCAAAAAAAAAAGAGTCCCGCATTATTGCCTTTTGAACGAAACTCCTATGCGTCCTCGGTACACGGGAATAATAATACGAATAAATTATACGCCGTCACTACTCTCTTCCCACACTTAAATCCGACGCATTTATACAGATTATACGGCAAATGATGAAAGAATATGAACGTCCAGGCGAAAGAACGTCCGCCTCTGATAAGCATTATTACACGCGGTGTCGTCTCGTGGTCTGTACCGTGACACGATACGATGCACTGTATGGTATCTCGCACAAAATTTAAACGCTTTTCGACAGCCATTATGCTTTTACGCAAGTGATAGTCACATCCCACAAGGTATCTGACGTTGAAAAACGTTGACTAAACGTTGTTTCAACTCTTAATCAGCGTTGTTTCAATGTCGTTTCTGATCGAGCCCGAGTCGTGACAGGCGAGCTATCGGACCAGTCATAATATAACCAGACAACTTTACCTGTCACAACCGCTGTCTCATGCAGCAACAAACCCAGTCACAGTAGCTTCATGGTATTGACACTCCACATTATAATACAGAAACAAGTTTATTTTTCAAGCTTACCGCGACTTTTACAAGCAGTTAACCACATCGGCATATGCTACCCCAAAATGAACCCCTGTGCGAGACAACGGCCCCAGAACGAGGAATAACAGGATTTAATTCAATATCCTGCAGTCGTTCCACGGAAATTGTATAGCAAAACAGCTTCAATGAAGGTATCGTATGAAGATTTTCCGCCGTGAGAAATATCAAGAAATGCAACGCATCATAAACCACACTAAAAGCCCGGTGTGACTGCAGTACGTTAATCAATACGGCTGTTGTCACTGGCAAGAACAAATGAATTTTACGGGAAGACCTAAAAAATTCACCTGAAATTCGGTAGCTCATCGGAAACACAAGAGAGATGCGAATACGTACGTTTATATGAATATCGCACAAAATTATATTTTTCTAAATTCAGCCATTTTCTACACAACTTTAGAAATTAAGAAGAAACAACTTTAGGCGAATGTCTGATAGATGGTCTTAAAGGAAGGCAACATAGAGGGAAAAAGCAGTGGCATAGCCTTAGCAGTGTTGCCCAGCAATTGGAGAGAGGAAAAGTGACTTTGTAACAGCAAATTGAAGCTGAGTGCCTGTGTGCAAGAAGCTGCATGAATAATAGACGCTGTATGTATGAAAGAAATGTCGTATGTCAGCAACCATATGGTTGCAGACCGTATGTTCAGGAGGTTGCCACGTTTCTGGTATCAACTGGAGCGGTTCAGCTTATCTCGGACATGAGGCGTTTTTCAGTTTCGGCGATCGATAAATCAAGAGAATATTTACATATACTTTTTGCGATACCAAGGAGTCTTGTGAAATTTCGATGCAACCAGCAAGCGACGCTATATCAAGCGCTACTCATTGGCTATCACAGCACGAGAGGTAAAACCATTAAAAGAAATGACGCTTTAAGTTTTGAGCACTTCATTAAATTTCGAAGGCCAAAATATTGTTCGGCTACTTAACACAAGATCCCAGTCAAATTAATTGATAATGTAGGAGAACGTACCACTAAGTTCAATGCACCAGGGTAATTACCGAAACTTTCACGCACAAAAAATTCAAAAGATCGAAAACTCGCAAGCAGAACCTTCAAGATGATCTAGTCGAAAGTTGTGTGCTAGAAACGCGGCGAATTTACAAGAAACTATAAACACTAGATATGATTGCATTCAAAGCTACAAAGTATACACATTTGAGGAATTTCTATAACAGGTACCTGATTAGTAGTGCTACAGTTCCAGGACCAGAAATTCAGAAGGATATTTGTATTACTGTAAAGTAGAATGATTTAGTTGTGTGATCTTGAGACATCTTGATTACCCGCGGAAAAATGAGCGTAGAAAACAAAAAAGCTAAGCATTTTTTTCTTTTAGAGTGACTGCCAGAAAACCGGGATGAAGTATCTACTGTACAAGCAACTCACAGTTAAAATTTATCTCTGCTGATTTCACAGTGCGGGAAATTTTTTAGTGCGGACCAAGTTTCACAATGGCAATAAATCACAACGAAAAAAAATTGTCTATGAATTGCCTAGAAATCTAGTGTCATTGGAGTAGAAATGAAATTAGAATCATGTTCTCAGTTCACGGGATGAGAAAACAAATTATATTAGGTCGATGAGAAGAGCACACTAGAAAATTGTACCACTCTATGCCATACTCAACCATACGTACAAATTTATACAAATTCGCCCATTTCTTGCCAGCCATAAGTATAAGGAAGGGATATAGCATTTAGAGTAGTATAACTCACAGCAGTAGACGAACGTTGAGCTCATTAACAATAGGAGCTCTCTTTTTCAATGTTAGCGACAAGATTGCATTTTAGATCAGAAATTATCGTTTAAAAAATTCAATAAATGATGGCATAATGCCGGTAGTTAAGGAGGCCGAGATACTAATTAAACCAAAGGGAGATGTTACAGATGAATGAATCTTTTGACACTGGAACAAAACTATTTACCGTGACTAAAGCCCTATTTCATACGCGAGAAAATTGATGATACACCGAATGTCTGATTCTAAAGTTCAAATGAGTGTGAAAAAAATTCTCTGCGTGGAGAACAAGTTAGTTTAATGCGATGGTTATTTCATTTTTAGAACAATTGTTGTAGCTGTGGGAACGTGAGAAAAGTTCACAAAGAGAAATGTTCGTTCAAATGACATTAGAAGAATATACAGCAGGATCAAAGGTAGCTTTGGCTGAAAGAAAATACAAACGACGACTGGTAAACGCCACATTAACACCTACCCTCGCCACATCCCTAACGGCACAGGAAAACGAGATGACAGTGCGTTGCTATACAGAAAGTAGGAGTTCGAACCACTACTTCACGCTAGTCGGTAACAAAAATACGTATAGTGTCACCTGGTCCAGACTCCTGCTACAGTTAAATTAGGCCTATAACAACATACCTTCAGGAAGATATTATTCATGAATTAATTAATGTACAAGCTACTTTATACAGCCCAAGCTACTATCACTAGTACCTGGAGGCGAACCAACAAGTCAGAGTCGCTTGGAGTCTTTCAGAATAATTAAGTTTCTGCCCTATCTTACACTATCGCTCAGAGAAATTAACGAGTCATATTGTTCAAATACTGACACACTTTCTGCACGTGGCACTGATACGCTTTCTACCCGGGCCAAACTAGTTCAGGATGACTCACACAAGACCGAAAAGTACATCACTATTTGGACAGTCTCACTTATTTCTCTGAGTGTAGATGATTTACCACACAAAGAACACCTCGCGTGATCTCCTTGACGCTCAGTTGGAACTGTTCCCTTTATGGTTCAACTTTTAAAACAAATATTCACTTAATTTAAAAGGTGGATAGAAACTCATTGCGAGTTCTCATATCAAAGAAATAGGTATCGTCTGTTAAATTTACTAATATTAGAGTTTATTAAAGCACAGGAAAAACGCAGACTTTACAATTTCACATGACCAACGTGAACTAAAAAAAAAAGAAGCGTGAGTTGTTGAACGGAGAAACAATAAATAATCAATCGCGAACTCAAAATGAAACCAAAAATATAATACGACCAGAAATTCTTGCACATGACCACAGCAAGAACGAAAGTGCATCGCTATTTGGATAAAGTCTCACTCATTAACCCGAGTGTATTTCTCTGCGTTATGTAAACACGTGAACGAAATCTGACATTTTGTACAAATTTACTCGAAACGCTTTAAAATAATTATACAATATATGAACAAAGATTCCCCCCGATTTGACGTTGAGTTAGATGTTGATTAAGCACAACTTTTCTTCAATGAAAGTAGAAGATATAGTTTGTCTATACCATCAAGTTTATCAGCGGTTACGCCAATTAGACATCAATCTTGCACAGAATTAGGTGGGTCATGTTAGCACGAAAATATCCACGAATGCCATATATTGAAAAACTGACTGATGGTAAATTTGATTCATGAATTGGAAGTGATTTGATCTAATAATACTACCCATCAGAAAATTAGAGCGTACATGTGTAATAAATCTGGATTTGATCGTCCAAGGATATACAGGATAAGTGTGAGCGAATGAAGGCATCCTCGAATTCGATCCTAAAGTCATGGCTCTGTTCAAAGTGGCCTGCAGACTTTTTTACCGTTCTCATATTCCCAGTTTTGTTCAATAATATAATAACCAAATTAAATTTAAGATATCAGCAAGAAAACCATTAGCAAAGCTGAAACAGCTTTTCGACTCTGAATAGCTCAACGGAAACGAAAATAGAAACACTATGATCCGATTTAATCCATATAAATTGCAAAATAAATGTATGACAAATAAAATAGTTAAGATAACTTCGATGATTCAGTTCGCATTGTCACTGGTTCTACACTTACATTTCGCAAAACTCGGAGGTTATATTCACAGATATGAGACCATCGGGGGGGCTTTGAACTACTCAGTAAGTACCTACTCAATAATTCACCCAAGAAGCGACGGCTCATCTCAAGATTGCGTTTTATTACGAGCAAAAATAACGTTCAAGACGTAAATATTATCGCTCAAAAGGTAATAAATGATACGTACAAAGCACGACCAAGTCGACCTAAGAACCCTCATCGCACTTGGGAATTTATTTTCATTTGTCTACCGTAAATCTTGAAGGTTTTTCCCTTGAGGACGTCTGGAATATAATTAAGTGGTAAAAACCGAACATACAAAGAACATACACAGCATTCAAACTTCGTTCGCTAATTCCCAACTTCCACTAACCTGAATCAACGTTGGAACATAAAACAAAACAAACCAAAAGAACGTTCTTACATCAAAATGTATTAAGCCTCGGGAACGTACACGTTTTGCACATGTTAACATTGATTCACAAACGAAAAAGTTTCTTCCTTGTAACTCCGAAGATAAAAGAACTTTTCACTGCTTCCAGTCCACCGTAGAAACACGACTCGTAGTTTAAGCGTAGATAATACAGGCCTGCAACCTTACATCACAAGACACTGAAACGTTTGTAACTTTTCAATGAACGTTTTCACATGGACAACGAACGTTTTCGTAAAGTTCCATCAGTCCAACACCAACACCGAGCCTGCTCTCTAGCATCACTGAACTTGCGCCATCCTAATGTAATTCACGAGGCATTACCACACCAAGACAAATGACGAAACAACGTCGGGCTTCAGCATCAGATGCCTGGTCGGTACGTACCCGCAGCGGATGTATCCACAATAGCATAAGTATCATTATTATTATTATCATTATTAAAAATTCCTACAGGGAGCGTGTCATCCTAATCCCCGTCATGAGTGGAAGCGGTGGGACTGCGGTGCAAAGCTTCCCCTATCTCGAGGTCCCCACTTAGTCACAGCTTCAGCTCGTTGGCAATCTTGCTGGCAATGTTCTTAAAGGCAATACTCGTGCCAGATATTCTCTTGAAACGCACGCCGCTCAAGCTCAGTCTGGGTAGCTTACACACCTGCACATCGAAGCACATATTAATTCTTCATGGCATAGAGTCGATAACAAGCATAGGGTGCAATAACTATACATTAAAATAGTTGTTATTGAACATGGCTCTTTGAAAGAAAAATCCGCAGAAAATAGCCATAGTTTTTATTTTAAATCAAGAGGATTTTCAGTAAGCAGACAATTCCCTTTAAACTTTTCTTTGAAAAAAAAAAATATTGCTACCCTGCCAACTTATCACGCGTTACTTAATGACTAAAACTCACCTCAATTTCTCACTGCACCATGGTGTCGTTTATATCAGGATCCCTTTGTTTAATGTTATTCCTACCCAAGTTGCCAACATATGGTTCCGTATACCTACCTTTCTTGGGCTTGGGGGACGGAGGACGATGAAGGGAGCGCATCAGCGCGACTATGGACCAGAAACTCCTTAACTCGACAATAATGCCATATAAGATGTCAACAACTTACCTTAATCTCCCACTGCTCCATGGTGTCACATTAATGACATATATAATGCCCTATAAAATGACCAAAACTCGCCTCAATCTCCCACTGCACCATGGTGTCACATTAATGCCATATATAATGCCCTATAAAATGACCAAAACTCACCTCAATCTCCCACTGCACCATGGTGTCGTCTATATCAGGATCCCCGTGTACACAGAGCAGCAAGAACTTCTCCCGCTGTTCATAATCACAATGGTTGGCGTCTAATACCTGCGGCACACACACAACCATGCAGACCGTCATTACAAGGTGCCTTCCATAGGCAGTTAATGGATCTTAAACATCAATGATAAACCAAGGCATGAATCATCCGAAAAAAAACTGTTAAAGAGAGTGGCCAGAGTTGTATAGTATTGAGGGAAGGAAATTTTGAACTCAAAAAATAAAATTAGTGATAATAATAAAAAAAATTATGATGCCAGTTACGGAGACTAAATTTAGGCTGAGGGAAATTATAGATTAAAAACGGTTCGATGGATTTTGATTTGAAACTTGTTATATATTAATATTTGAAGTACGAAAAATTGCTGTAAAATGTAGGCAAATTCACTCGCTTCAAAGATATAAGGATAATAGATAAATGACCTGGAATTTATGAAAACGCATATGCATCAGGGAATCAACTCAGAACACATCAACAGCGTTCTGGAAACGTCATCAGTAATAATCGCTTAATAATTCAAGATATTAATCAAGGATGATGTGGTCAGAAATTGATCAATTTGTGATTACAAAAGGTTAGCGAGAACCAGAAATAGAGAAATAATAAATCACTAGCTAATGAACAATTATTAAATTTGGATTTACCTAGATTCAGGGACTTCTGTTATAATTCCATAATTTCATGAGGTTAACTATGAATAAATTCATCAAGTATCGAGAAGAAATTATGAAGCCAACATTTCGCTGGACGATTCACGATAATGTAACTTACATGTTAAGATACAATAATATATATCAATGCACACACATAACAATGTATATATATTGAAAAGTTCCTTTTAATATTCAACATAATTCAATAGATTAGTACGAGAGAGACAAGGTGGAGGATCAGAGGAATAACCCATAAGAAGAAGAGGAAAATTAATCAGTGGGGTGGATGGGAACAACATGCTAATCGGAAAAACGTGCCAAACAGGAAAGGAAGAAGTGATAAGTTGATAACAACATAATCAATGAATTGATATCAATATAAGTGATGAATTGATATCAACATAAGTGATGAATTGATATAAACATAAGTAATGAAATGATGTCAACATAAGTGATGAATTGATGTCAACATAAGTGATGAATTGATGTCAACATAAGTGATGAATTGATGTCAACATAAGTGATGAATTGATATCAACATAAGTAATTAATTGATATCAACATAAGTTATGAAAGGATATCAACATAAGTTATGAAAGGATATCAACATAAATGATGATTAGACGTCAACAGAAGACCCAAAAAATTTCCCAGTAGAACATGATATTTAGGCCTACCTGGACAGGAATTCACCCGTTACAGTAAAGATGATTGCAGGTAAAACAAAATCAGACCAAAATCACCAAATACTACAATAGGTTCGAATTTTACTTCTGAATATCAAACCTGAACTTACCAACAGGACAATTTCAGTGACAAAAATAAAAAATGAAATTTTTAGAATTCCGACTATGAATATGAGGCAAGCGTTATTATAGCAAGAGAGTGAGGTGATGAAATGAGATCGAAAACATTTGTATGATCAAGTAAATAAAATCTATGAATATGAATAAGCTACGAATAATATTTCCCAGACATAAGTGATATGAAAGCAGGTTAATCAGATTGGCGAAGCGATCGGGTCATTGCACGAACGTTATTACTTCGGACACGGAATTATGATGCGTGATCAGACGGACTAGCATAGATGAACAAACTTTAAAACAAATGCGTTAAAAGGCTATTAAAAAATGAGATGAACTACATGATAACATGGAGATGAATTTGAGGTCCGTTAAGTCATTCGCAAATATGCTTATGGAAAATCAATACAAGAACCCAGAACATAAATACAAAATAAAACAGCTGTCACAAAAATATTCTCGTGTTTCAAACAACCAGATGAAGCAGAAAAGATGAAGTTGTTGTCAGTCAAGTCACTCGCAAATCAACTTGGCAAGTCACCACATTAGCCGAGTTTTTATTCTAGAAGCGAAGTCGATCGTTGAAGCGAATTAATGATCGTTTAACGTAAAGAAAATTAACAATGACAGAAAAGGTTGAACAATCAGTCAAGGTGCTTGTAGTTTAATTTCAGAAACTGAGACAAAACATATTGAGCGTCGGAGATTGATGCTTTAGTTCAAGTAATACATTGAGTCGCTAATTTAATAGAAATTGAACAAAAAAAAAAAAAACACGGCGCATTATTAAATTTTAAGCCTGGTTCAAAAGGTCCGTAAGCACAATAAAAAAATTCCACGCACGGCGAAGGTTGCAGGGCAACTTTCCCGGTAAATGAATTGTACAAGACGTACAACCTAGGGACAATTTCATTACATAAAAAAAGGGAGTTACGGGTGACAAGTAAAGGTCAGAAACGCACCCCTCCTCCCATACAGCAGGAAACTAGCGCCCAACAAAAATCTAGACCAACCACGATGCAGACCCAAGAAGGAACAACACAAAGCGAATCGCCCGAAAAAGCTTTGAAGCGTTGCATTTTCGTCATGACGAAAATATTTGGACTATTTCTTAAGTATCAATAAGCTTACAAATCAAATGGGATGGATGAATTAGTACGACAAAGGATTTATATATCAATGAAAAATGTCAAACGGTATTAATTTGCTTAGAATCAAAATTTGCAGTGGTCATGAGGAGAAATTGAATCGCAGTTGACACTGGAGGACCACATAGGGTTGATAATGGGTTTGCCATGTGACTTAACAGAGACATGATTTATCAAGCCAGCCTATATCGAGTCAGCGGAGGTTTTGACAGCTCGTACCTAAAAGTTTTGGACAGCTGAGGCCGCCTAAAGCTACGCTGATGAAAGGATGTGCGCAAAGAAGGCCCGCTTGAAGGAGGATCGTTTGTAGGAGGAAGCTGTTGATCTAAGGTATCAGAGGGCTGGCATTTCACGGAGGGGACTTCGAGGTGTGAAGGACGTGCAATTGAAGACCGATGTGGGTTATAGTTATCGGATGGTTGAGGTTGAGGCAGTATGTATCCGGTAGGTTGAGTTCCTGAAGGCTGAGGAAAGGGAAACACATAGCATGACAATTCGCAAATGCACCGCAAACCGCCAGCAAAAATGGAATTATGAGGTAACAGCAAGGACCTTTACCCTCAGCAGTTAACAGAGATGAGCAGCATCTGACCATAATTCGACGATGATTTCAAAACACTGGATTAAGTTTATTCAATTCGGACTGCAATGAGCTAATGAGCGAGAACTTGATGAACAAGACCACCATCGAACAGGAAACTTGATAACTGAGAGTTCACTCGATTGAAACATGAAGATCAATTAAAACAATTTGAAACCAGTGAGCGCTCGGTAGCTGGACAAGACTAGCATACAAATATGTTGAACATGAGTCAGGAAAGGTTAGACTAATTCGGGTAAGACTTAAGGAGCGATTTGGAAAAAATTTGTTAGTATGCTGACTATGCTCTTCTTTTCCATCCCTCATTAATCGGATATTTCCTAGACCCTATGCCACTAAAACATAACCCAAGAACAGTTGAACATATTTGTAAATTCCACAAGCACTAAGAACGTCGCAACAGTTTCATCAATAGGCCAGAAATAGAAGCAATATCGATCAAGCAAAATGTCGAACCATCTCAGAGAACGCTGATCGAAGTAGAAAGTAGTGGATTAGTAGGTGAGAAAGTTGCCTACGAGAAGAAAAGAGAATGTACACTGAAAGTGTACTGGAACACTGAAACTGTACATGAACATTTGCACAAAGACATCAATCGTCATCCCAGAGTAGTGAGAATGGAAGCAGAAATGAAGAATCTCCAATCACCCGCTGAGAAACAGCACTCAAAAGAATCTTTTCATCATCTCTGCATTTACGATGTTTGGAACTCAAGAACTTTTTGAGACAGCTATTGTAATGATGCATTCGTGTAATATCAAGTTTCTTGCGCTTGACAGTGGTAAATTTCGGAGCATTTGGAAGCGATGATCAAGATAACTGACTTATTTCGGCTACTAATAGATATTGTAACAGAAACACTACCTTTCATAAAGAAGTTTCAATCGAAAACAACGGTCGTGTTAAAAAAAAACTAACGTGTCAGGAACGTGACTAGTCTTGTCAAAAACTTCGAACCAAGTTTTATTAAGGAAAAGAGAAAAAATATAATGGTAGTCGAGAACATAAATGCAGTGAAATATAAAAAAATGTACCCGAGACTAACCGAAAATTTACAGCATGCGCGGGATAACTGAGAAGCAGGAAGGGGACATAAAAGAGGATGGAATTTGCAGTTAAGTAACTTAGTTCGAAAAAAGGAAGCCGAATTGAATAAGGAATAAAAACAAGCTCTTACACAAAAGTACTTATAGTTTCATCATGAATATTTAAGTTTAAAAAGAACTCAAAACTTGCAATAAATAACGAACGAGATACAATAAAGATTGAGTTTTGCACGTGTGAGGTAGGGTTAGTGCGTCACAAAATTCTTTTAATAGAAGAAGAGTGCGTCACTGAGCTCGATGACATGCGATGTTAAGTAAACATCCTTCGTAACTAGTAAGCCTATAGGACCCTATTTATTAACATAAAGACAACACACTAAAAATTGAGGACTGCGCAAAACACCTAAGCCCGCCACACACGCCATTCACTATTACTTCCTAAATTACGAATCACGAATCTTATTAATTTGCACGATAATTAATTATAGTAAAGTTTGAGGGTTCATGTAAACACTAAAGTTTTTGGTACATACATATTTGGTCGACAATTAAGGCCTCTAGGTCAAGTAAGAAAATAGATGACAATTTGGTCACGTTTATGCGTGCACTGGAATATACGTTGAGTTGGTTATACACGAATCGATAATGAGAACCATTAGACGGAAAGACGTTTAGGCAAATACGACAAGGTTGAACAAAATCTAAACAAAGAAGATCTTTAATACTTCTGACAAGACTAATCCAAGCATAAATATTCGGGATTTTATGTGAAATTTCTCACGTCATAGCTTTGGCA